TCTTCTTCTTCTTCTTCTTCTTCTTCTTCTTCTTCTTCTTCTTCTTCTTGGCTGCGGAGGAGGAGCAACGTTGACTGGATGGTTGGTTGGCCTGACTGGTTGTTGGTCTGATGCAGCATGGCTGTTCATGGGTTCTAGCTAGGGTTGCCAAGTCCACCCACCCACCCAGTGCGTGTGTGTGGGGGGGGGTAGGGTTGCCAGCTCCAGGTAGGGGAATTTGTGGAGATTTGGGGGTGGAGGAGCCTGGGGAGGACAGGGCCCTCAGCGGGGTACCATGCCATAGAGAGTCCATCCTCCAAAGCATCCATTTTCTCCAAGGGAACTCATTTCTGTAGACTGGGTATGAGCTGTAATTCAAGAGCAATGAACACGTGGGATTTGCAACCACAGGAAGTGGTGGGAGCTACAAGCATAGACAGTTTCAGGAGGGGACTGGAGAAACATCTGGAGCCAGAGGTCCATCAGTGGCTCTTAGCCACAAGAGATAGATGGAACGCTCAGTCTGGGGCAGGGATGCTCCGTATCCTCGGTGCTTAGGGGGCCGCAGTGGGAGGGCTTCTGGAGTTCTGGCCCGGCTGGTGGACCTCCCGATGGCACCTGGTTTTTGGCCACTGTGTGACACAGAATGTTGGACTGGATGGGCCATTGGCCTGATCCAATATGACTTCTCTTACATTCTTAAGAGCAGAGGTCCATGAGTGGCTATTAACCACAACTTATAGAGGGAACACTCTGTCTGGGGCAGGGATGCTCTGAATTCTTGGTGCTTAGGGGGCCACAGTGGGAGGGCTTCTGGAGTTCTGGCCCCGCTGGTGGACCTCCCGATGGCACCTCGGTTTTGGCCACTGTGTGACACAGAGTGCTGGACTGAATGGGCCACTGGCCTGATCCGACAGGGCTTCTCTTGTGTTCAGGCTAGGCTTAAGTCCCCGCTGGAGGCCGGCATCTTAACAGCTTCTGTTCTTTCTTTGCAAGCAAACAAAACCCCTTCGCCTGTTGACGTCTGCTTCTGTCTGTTCTCCTTTCTCACCCCCCATGCCCCCACCCCCTTTAGCAGAAGCAGTGGTGGGGGAGCCCATCACGGAGTCCATCGCCCACGCCGTGGCTGCCGTCGGGGGCCGGATATACCTCTCCGGGGGCTTCAACGGCATGGCGCTGGGACGGATGGTGGCTCTCTCGGTGCCCTCTGACCCGTGCCTCATCTTCTCCAGCCCCGAAGCCTGCAACGGATCCGGTGCCAGCTGTTCCTGGTGCCGAGCCAGCTGCCTCTCTGCGGATACGGCCGAGAGGTGCGTGGAGGGGAGAGCAAAGACGGGGAACTTCTGGTGGTGACCGTCTCGGAGGAAAGAGATGGAATTCTCTAGTGAAGAGAATCTGTTGGTTCTCAGACAGAAGGTGTTAGGAGCTAGGTTAGCGTGCGTGTAGATCTGGTCTTTTCGTTTTTAATCTGCACCATACAACTTTTACTAAAGCCCCTTAGAAACATAGAGCTGGAAGGTAACCCCAAGGGTCATCTAGTCCAACCCCTACAAAATCCAAAAGAGTAAATAGTAAAAAGCCGAGGAGCACCTTTTAAGACTGACAAACTTTATTGTAGCAGAAGCTGTCGAGAAACACAGCTCCCTTTGTCAGATGCATCTGTTTTTCAGAGCAGCTTGCAATCTCCTTTCCCTTCCCCTCCCCACCACAGACACCCTGTGAGGGAGGCGGGGCTGAGAGAGCTCTCTGGAGGACTGCTCCTGAGAGAACAGTTCTGAGAGAACTTGTGACTGGCCCAAGGTCACACCAGCAGCTGCACGTGGAGGAGTGGGGAATCAAACCCGGTTCTCTCAGATTAGAGTCCGCCGCTCCTAACCACTATACCAAACTGGCTCTCAGTACAAAATAATTGGTACCAGATAATTACATTTTGCTACGGTGACCTGCTTTTCTTCCAGTATGGCTGGATGTTGTTCTTCCGGGTTTGCTAATTAGTTTTCTAGATCCTTCCATCCCCCCCGCCCCCGTACAGATATTCTTTTTTGGCTTGATTAGATCTGCAGGCCTCCTTTCGTCTACCAGATCTCTTAAGTCCGGTTCTGTCTTCAGCTTCTGTTTGGGCGGTGTGTCAACTTGCAGGTTCCCTGGAGCAATTCCTTGCAAATCACACGCCACCGACTTTTCACTCTTTTGAGACAATACAGGCTTTTACAAGACGCACGTAATCCTCTGCCCATGGCAGTAATCTCATAATATCCTCACACGAGCTTCCAGTTTTATAACACTCAGTGCAGGTCTGTTCGTGCTTATCCCAGATTATGCTTCCCCGCCCCCCCTTTTTTCCCTAGTTTGCTTCCAGAAAGACTGGCACGTCTTATCTCCTGATATGGCATACTTCTTTCAGAAGCCCGCCCCCCACCCCAATTGGAAACCCAAATGGAGGGTGGATGTCTCTTGCCGGGAAAGCCCTACAGCGTCGCCACAAGTCGTTTGTGAATCGGCGGTGCTTTCCACCACCACTGAGAGCCAGCTTGGTGTAGCAGTTAAGAGCAGCGGACCCTAATTGGGAGAACCGGGTTCGATTCCCCGCTCCTCCACATGAAGCCAGCCGGGCGGCCTTGGGTCAGTCCCCGTTCTCAGCCACCGAAAACAAGTCTGGCTCGCCACCTAGTGGTGCGTGATGGAAGAAGTGCTAGAACTTTCGGCTGCCAGACCACCTTAGGATCTCCTGGCTATGCTACCCACACTGCCATACTGTCATGACCCCAGAGGGGTCTTTGGGTTTTCGCCGCCACCACCTTGGACTTTCGGGTCCCTCGGGAGTCCCAGGGTATCTCCCAAGCCCTTGCTGACGTGAATGACCCAGGCAAACACCAAAATACATTAAGCAGAACAGGGTTTATTGTGGGAATGATTGGGGCAAGGTGCTTCAACCGGGTAACGGGGGGAGGGAAAAGCCAAAAGAAAATAAACTTAACGCAGATGCCTCACTGTGGGTTGACTACCAGGCCCTAGCCTGCCTAACTCCCTCCGGATTTTCCCCTTTTCCCAGCCCGGCCTGTCCCTCACTGGACCCAGCCGCAGGGAGGCAAAGGACGGGGCTTCTCCCCTTTTCCCTCAGAGAGACTTTTGCAACCCTCAACCATCGGCTAGCAACTGCCTGACACCGTACTCTTTCACACCTCATGCAACCCTCAACCATCTGCTAGCAACTGCCTGAAACTGTCTTCTTCCAGACTTCATTCCCTAACAGACTCTAAGGGTCTCCCTTAGAATCTTCTCTGACTCTCCCAGTGCCTTCTGGGAGTTGTAGGCCTAGCCGCCTCCTACTGCCACCCAGGCCTCTTAGGCTGGCTAGGCCGTACTGGCACAGGCCAGATCATGACACATACGGTCATTATTATTCCACCACCACCACCAGGGGAGGGCGGCAGGCATCGGTCGGTGGGGGGGGGCAGAGGGGTGGAGGAGAATGCCGGCATTGACGTTTGTGGCTTCTCCGCCTTCCCGCCCGCAGGCTGGGCTGCTCCTTCGGGGGGGCCTCCTGCTTCCCCACCCCCAGGTCTGCGGACGAGTGTCGTCGGCTCAGGACGTGTAGCGAGTGCCTCGCCCAGCACCCCCGGGCCATGGCCCACAGCCTGGGGATTCCGGTGAGTAGCCTTCCCGCCTGGCGTTCCGGGGAGGGACGGGGCGGCTCAGCCAGCAGGGGGCGCCGTGGGGCACCGCCTGCCTATCTGTTTGAGGGCTTTCAACCTTGCATTCCTGGAGTCCCTGGTGTGTGCGGGGGTGTGCGTGTTTGTGTGATGGCTTTCGGCTCACAGGGCATGATATTAGTTTTGTTATTTATTTAAATTTGTTCCTCGCCTTTCTCCTCAAAGGAGACCCAAAGCAGCTTACATTGTTTCCCTCTCCTCCATGTTATCTTCACAACAGCCCCGTCAGGTAGGTTAGGCTGGCCGTGCGTCACTGCCCCAAGATGACCCTGGTTTCACCACTTCCTGCTTTAAACGGATGGGGAAAGGAGCTGTAGGAATCGGGAAGCGTGCAGAGGGGTCTGACATTCCAGCATGCCAAACGGCGAAGCTTTGAAAACACAGCTCGGGGGGGGGGGGGGGAACTCCGATAATATTCTGAGTTTTCAAGGAACCACAGAGCTTTTGACACACCACCCCTATCACAACTCCACCGTGTAGGTGCAGATCTGTGCTGCTCAGGTCGCTTGAAGGACCGCCCCCCCCCCGCCTGTCAGTTGAGCTTGTCTTCCCAAGTTCTGCCTGCAGAGGGCGAGTGAGAGGCGACCAGAGACGGGGCTTTCTCTCCGTTGGGATTGCTCCCTCCCCCTTGAGTCTGAACTGGCCCCTGCCCTCCTTTCCCCTAAGTACCAGGCCCAAACAGATCCATTTCTACCTTCTCCCAGATTAGAGTCCGTGCACTTAACCACTACACCAAACTGGCTCTGTAAACTCTTGGAGGATTGGCTACATTAGGGGTTTTTCGCCTAATATGCAAAGGAGCTCCTGCTACAAAAAGAGCCCTGCAATCGGCTCTCAGCCCGAGAACAGTTCTGTTCGGCTGAGTATTGATTTTTTTTTTTAAAGGTCCTGGCTAGTTTTTTGCAGCTTGTGCATTATTGATCAATTTTACGCGGCTGTTTTAATAATTTTGCTGTATCGTTTTTACTTTGTGATCTGCTCCGGGCGGGAATGGATACATTATTCTGAACAAAAATATCCCAGTGGCCTGCAAGGAGGTGCCAGAATGCCAGGTGACTTATATCGGGGGTCCCCAACATGGTGCCCATGGGCGGCACAGTGCCTCCAGGCACCTTCCTTGGTGCCCGCCAAATGTTTTTTAGAAACTGGGCATGGCAAGGTTAGAAGAAGAAGAAGAAGAAGAGTTTGGATTTATACCCCATGGCCCTTCACTACCCAAAGGTGTCTCAGAGCAGCTTACAAACTCCTTTCCCTTCCCCTCCCCACAACAGACGCCCTGTGAGGTGGGTGGGGCTGAGAGAACTCTTGACAGAAACTGCTCTTTTTCAAGGACAGCTGTGCCAGAGCTTGTGACTGACCCAAGGTCACCCAGCCAGGTGCAAGTGGAGGAGTGGGGAATCAAACCCGGTTCTCCCAGATTAGAGTCCGCACACTTAACCACAACACCAGACTGGTTAGGCTTTTGCCCAGCGAGACTTCTGATTAGCGAGTGGCATGCAGATTTCTTTTTCTTTTTCTTTTTGTATTTGTGTGTGTGCGTGCGTGCTAATGTGTGTTCATGTCCCTGGAAGTCATGGCTGACTTCTGGCCACCCCTCGTGAGGCTGGAGGCAAGGACATTCAGAGAGGTGGGCTTGCTATTGCCTGCCTCCACCTCCCAGCCCTGGTATTCCTTGGAGGTCTCCCTCCCAAGGACTTTCCAGGGTCAACTCTGCTTAGTTTCCGAGATCTGATGAGATTGGGCTTGCCTGGGCTATCCAGGTCAGGATCGGCATGCAGATTTTTTAAAACATTGCTTTCGTTCAGGGTTGCCGGCTCTGGGTTGGGAAATACCTGGAGATTTAGGGGGGTGGAGCCCGGAAAAGGTGGGGTTTGGGGAGTGGAGGGAACTCAGGAGGGTATGATGCCGTAGAGTGCACCCTCCAAAGCAGCCATTTTTCTCCAGGGGAACTGATTCCTTTTGCCCGGGGATCAGTTGTAATAGCGGGGATCTCCAGGCGCCACCTGGAGGTTGGGAACAAAGCACAAAAACCAGTGACTAGAGATAACCAATATATGAAATGTGTAATAATAATTCAATAATGCAGAAATAGAATTATATGACAATATTGGCCAAGGTGTAACCAAGATACAGAAAGAAGAAGAAGAATGGAAATAAGAATAAAGTCCCAAGTATTTTACCGTGTCTCACTCCAGTAGCGTTGTAATATCAAAGTCCGATTTGACGTGCAATTCATTATGGAGTGGACATTTCAGTAGTTCCATAAGCCATAAAAAGCCATGACACGTAGTCCGGCTGCCGCGTTTCGAGGTGTTCTTATTCAAAAATAATAGGCTATAAGGGGACTAAATACAAATTCAAAGCATACACAGGTGAGAATGAACAATCATACATCATACATAAATTACATAATATGGAGCTGCAGGGAGAACTCACCCCAAACTCAGTAGGAGGCACACACAAAGCCAGTATAATCAGTCAAGAAGGATTATGGGTCCTTATCCAACCCTATGCTGCACCCTAATTTATACCTAATGTCAGGCTGCATCAGCACAGGTGAACTGCACGTCAAACTGGACTTTGATATTGCAACGCTCCTGGAGTGAGACACGGTAAAATACTTGGGACTTTATTCTTCTTTCCATTCTTCTTCTTTCTGTATCTTGGTTACACCTTGGCCAATATTGTGATGTAATTCTATTTTTGCATGATTGAATTATTATTACACATCTATATATCTAATAGCCAAGTCGCCACCGTGCGTGCGGATACCTAAATCCGCGCATCGGGGGCACCTGGGGGGAGGGAGATTTTTGTGCACACTTGGGGCAGTCCCCAGGTGTGCACAAAAATCTAAAAACCCGGAAAAAATACCGGGGGGATACTTAAATCCCCCCAAAAGTGACAGAGCATCCCCTGCGCATGCGCAGGGAACGCTCCGCGAACTCCCTCGCCGCCGCCGCTTCGAAGCGGGGGGGGAGGCAGCAGCG